GGGAATCCGGGAGGGGCCGCAGTGTTCCCCGGCAGGGTCTCTTAAGAGCAGTCATCCTCAGTCAAGCTGCTTTTTCCAATGAATTCTGAGACTTTTCAAACAAGTCACGTATTTCTTGCATTGTCTTTTCAGAGAACGCAGCTCTCAAGCTAAGATCACTCCCTGCTTCCAGCAGACACTGCACAGCGGTAGGCTTCCATTTTTTTATAGCCATGCTTATTAAATGTATGTCAAATTAGTGCTGTTTGTAGTCAGGGACCTTCAGAGTCCATCTGTGAGAAGTTGAATCACCTCTTCTAAGGGTCAATAACCTTGTGTCTCTGTAAAGCAGACTCTGGAAACACAGCTAGGGAATGTCTTAGCTCATAGCATAAAACTTGAAAGGATTTGGAAACCTGAAAATCTATATCAGGCTGTGGAAGAATGGTGAGAAAATTCACTGCCCATTTGAGCTCCAGACCTTCCTCTCACATCCACATTGCACAATGGAAAATGTGCTTCGGGCTGAAACCTCGTTTGGGCTGTACTGGTACCCGCAGTGGGTGACAGAAAACACTGTTCTGGTGTTTTTTGACCCGATTCAAAAGCAAGCCAGATGCAAGGCCCAAAGCACAGCTGAGGATCTGCCCCAAGGTTAAGCTGATCTCAAACTACTACCAACAGCCCAAGGGTTCTGGCAGCTGAAGCCGCAGAATCACTGCAGAGGAACACCAGACATAAAGAGACCCAAGTGCCAAACAGGGAAGCTCAAGTGGACTTTATTACAGTTACAAGAACATACAGGGACATTAGTGCACTGCTTCTTATTTCTCAAATTCAATGTAGGAGTGATCAGATGCTGAAGGATTTGTACCAGCTCTTTGCTTTTTGCACATTTGGAATGTGCAAGGGGGGACGTCTCTCAGTCATTCTCTGAAATACCTTTAAAGAACAATATAGGCAAAACCAGGCTCTTCAGAGCCTGCTTGGTATTTCACAGAGATGCAAACATCTTTAATAACATAAGTGATTAAGAAGTGCTCACAGGGTGGTAGGATACAGACAACTGATTTATCATCACCTTTATAGTCTTTAAAGTCCATTTGATTCCACGATCTGGAAACAGTCCTTGGAAACTTCATTATAACACTATTCCTTTATTACAAATATTTACATACTCTGTACTGGTGCCCCCTTTACTTCCACACTTTCACGATCCCGTCCCGTGACGCAGTTACTATAAAGCCCTGCGTGGTCTGGAACGTTGCGATGTCCGTGATGATATCATGGTGTCCAACGGGGAGGGACTCGGGGCCCTTCCGAGGGGCCTCATCACTGGGACCCAGTTTTTGCTTGTTTTGAATTTCCTGCACAAAAACAAAGTGAGAAATATTATTTAGAGATAGGTAAGCATTTGTAAAGGGGAATTATCACGGATACTAGGTTGTAAAAAGATAAAAAAAACCTCTTCAAACAAACAAACCCAAAATCTTCCACCCTTTGATGGTTTCCTGGGATTACTCCTTGGTTCATTCCTTCTCATCACGTACAACCTAAATCTTAATCTGAACTGACACTACAGCTCTCTGACAAGGGGAAGAATGTTTTGTTCTCATATCAATGACACCAAAGTCTGGTAGTGCTGTAAGGGGTGGGAAAAGCTACAGTGACACATCTCAACTTCCCAAGGGTTTTTTAAAAATTCTTTCAGTAGCATGAATATAACTTAAGAACTTCACAGGATACAGTCAGAAGTCATAGTGGACAGGTAGACCCTCACTTTTTTAACAGTCACCTTAGAAGCAGCATTTATTCAGCTGCACTGAAACTCACTGAAATTGCACCTTGTGCTCTTCAACAGCTAGCAACATTGCCAGTCCAGATGTCATTCTGAAGGATGTGCTAAAAACTGCAGAGTTCTGCTACCATATTAATTTGGTTCAAGTGCATCTCAAAACACCTTGCTAAGGTCCTACAAAAAAGATATTCCAAAGACTGATCAAATCAAAGGTGTGAAAACACTAGATTTCAATATCCCAAAAGAAACATGACTCTGGCTTCTGCATGCATTTGGCAAGTCTCATTCTGTCAAAAACACTTTGTTTTCTTTTAAAATAACTTATTCCTAATTCTCTGTTGCCATCCGTACAAGGCAAGAGACAGCTGTAATTAAATCCGTTGTGCCACAGCGCTGTGCAGAAGGCCAGCAGGGCAGGCTCTGCCACACAGGGCCAGTTACCTGGACCACCTCCGTGCCCTCGATTATCTTCCGGTAGTAGGAAACGGAGGGGCAATGAGAGCTTCCGGCAACAATGTACGACCTCTCGGGGTAGGCCAGGTCCCAAAACCTGAACACACAGCAATGAAACTCGGGTGAGACACGGAATTCTCGCAGCGTAACGCCACGTCTGAGAGATGGACACACAGGTTACTGTTCTCTTCCAGGCAGCCCGCGCTGCGCCTCAGGCACCGAGGGTTGTGCTGCGCTCCCTGGGCTCCCCGGCGCTGGCTAACGAGCACATCCCAGCCCTGCTCTCGGGCGTCTGGAGCCTCCGGAGGCAAGGCTTGGCCAAATCCAGCGCAGCAGCGGGGCAGAGGGGAAGGTGCCAAGCAGAAACAGTGTGGGGTTTATTACCTTATTTTCATGTCTGAGCCTGCTGTCAGTAATATGGGATTGCCAGATGCTGGACTACAGTATATTCCATGGATGCTGTTAGGAGAAGGCTAGTAGGGAAAAGGGGACAAAAATCAGTCACTGCCAACAGCTGCTGCCACGCTTCATAAAGGGAATGCATTCTTTACCACACCTGTCCAGTTTCCAAATGGTTCTGACAAATGCCAGGTTACTTTGGTAACAGTCCATGTCTTAATCTATTAAGGTAAATTGCTTCATTTTATTCTTTACGTTTCACAGAGCAATGCAACAGATTGAACTCTGCACAACGCTTTTTTTTGTATCTTGGAAATTACTTTCTCAGTGATGGCAACCAAGAAAGATGTGTCTAACAGAACTGGGCAGGTGAATCACGCTGAAAAGCACACGGATGCTCAAATTTTTATGCTATGAAGGCATTAATGGACAGACGTGTAACAGAAAACTAGGCTGAATCACAAGTGCCCTGTGTGCAAAGTGCGTGACCCAAGTGAACTCAACCTGAAATCCTTGTAGCACGTACCAATTTAAGTTTAGGTAGATTCCAGATCTGCATTGGCAGCGTTTATAGAAGGTTATTTTTGTGTATGTATTTGTGTTTTAAGAAAGATGTACCAGGTTGCCCCTTCCCAATTAACTACTTGAGGAAGAGCAACTTCACGCTTTAAACGAGCAGTTCAGTATAGTAGTGGCATTACATGACAGAAAGGATGTGCAGAAGAGCAGATGCTTACAGGGGTACGCACAATGCCAGGAACAGCGTGGTGCCGCACCACGAACGTGGCCTTCGCCCTCACCTTACGGGCTTGGGCGGCTGTGGGCTCTCCCAGGGCAGGGCTGGGCACAGCGAGCGAGCGTTACCAGCACGTTCCACAGGCAGAGGAAGGTGCCAGGGAATACTCTGCTAACGCTGCTCTGTTACAAAGGGGATTTAATTTTGACAGTGAAACGATCACAATGCCAAAAGCAATGCCGCGGCAAGTTCCTGGTGCCAAGCGGGCAGGGCCCCGGAGCCGGGTGCCTGCCCTGGCACAGAGCAGGGAGGCTGCCGCGGTCCCAGCCCCCGGTACCGGACGAACGGGAAGGGCCAGAGAGCAGACCTGCAGTTCGGAGAGGGGAGGAGCGCTGCTGGCCCACAGAGTGAAGCGTCGGTCGCCCGTTTCCATATCCCACATGGAGACTTCGTTATTGCCTTGAACAGCTACAGGAAAGATATTGCCAATGCGAAACACAGAACAGGCGGGTCGGCCCTCGCTGCCTGTGCTCTGCTGACAGGACCCAGAGTGCGACACAGACGCTCTCCGCTTGCTCGCCACAGCACCCGTGTTAGTCTTGCTTTAGCAGGAAAGCCATGCGTGCATTGTATTTGGTTTACCGCTTAGTAGAAGCTTCACTGAGTTAAATGGCCTCATTTAGGAGAGTTTAAATGAAGCTTGCTTTATTCTCCAGCCCATTTTAAAATGTATTAAACCCTCAGTTTCCTCTCTAGATAACTTCTCATCCTTCTCCAAGAAGAATGGATGGTCTGCTCAGCGTGGTCATAAGGGACTCCAGAGATTACTTCTGGGCAGGTGAGACAGCAATCCAAAGTTAAGGAGTCCAGTAGCTACAGTCCTGTTCCACACCCATGTTTTGTGTGGACAGGCAAAGAATTCTGCCCACGGGATTGGTTGCATGCCTGGCAGCAACCTAGCAAGTGTGATGAACTTTGTGACTCATTTATTCTGTAGCAGGGAGGAAACAGACTAGAAAGCACAGAGAAGCTGGCTTTATTTCTATGTTTTTTTGCAGAAATTTATTTTATGTTCCAGGGCAGTTAATAGCTAAAATAAGACATGAAGCCTAAGAAGCAATAAAATATGAAACTCAAATTACTCTCATTTTATAGGAACTTTATCAAGTCCCCCCTTTTTTTAATTTCAGAAAAGCCAGGAAAAGTGCAATGGCAAAGCACAAGTCTGGAACTTCCCTTTTTCCCCTCCCCTAGCAAAGCACAAGAAAAACTACAAGAAAGAAAAAAAAAAACCCACACCCACCCAGGGCTTGAAGCAGATGCTGCTCTAACAACAACTTCTGGCAACTGTGAGGTAGGCTTAAAACATCTTTTACCTGCAATTACCCAGGACTGATAGACAGGATGCATGAGCAGGCGCCTGATTCGGGCCTTGGAAGGATGAGAGTGGCTGGAGATAGGTAACTGGAACCTCATGTCCCAGCACGCCATGGTGCCATTGCTTGTTCCTGGTGAGAGAAAGCTCCACAGAGTCAGAGGGATAAACACACACACAGGGTTTTACCATATCCTCATGCTCTGCTCCCAGGGAGGTGGACTTCAGCCTCAAATACTTAGAGGGCAGAATACTTCCCACAAAGAGATCAGGAGATGTTTCTCTCCTCTGAGAAAAGCATGTTCTGGTCAAATCAGATCACACAAAAGCTTGAGCTATAGTAACTGTAAAAGAGAAACAGATGGGGCCGAGAGAGAGAGAGAAGCTAACAAGGAATACGAGCTTACCAATACACAGCCAGCATTGGTGTATGTCCACGGCAAAGGAAGTTATGAGGCCTAACTTCAGATCATGCTTCAGGGTCCAAGCGTTGCTGCTAGACCGCAAGTCCCACCCCACCAGGGAGCCGTTAACGGTGCCGTACGCCAGCACCGACTGCGCCCCTGAGTTGAAGTGGTGCATATCCACCACACAGCCATCATCCCTCAGATCCAGGGACCTGGTGAAAAGAACGAACGCAATTCAAAACAAGAACGACTTCCTCCAAGTTTAAGATTCCTTCCGACAGCCAATGCTGGTCAGTATTTTGCTCTTCACGCCACTTCTCAAGGCACCTGCTGGAAGCAGCTCTCCCGTTTTATCAGAACAGATGCTTATGCTCTCTCAAATCTCTCTGCTGGGCCTTCTGCAGGCTAGAAAAATGCTGCCAGCAGCTCCTTGCAAACGCAGTCCTAGCTCTGAGCTCTAGGTCTCTCAGTGCGTTTGGTACTTCTCTCCCATTCATGCTCCAGGTTTACCAGGTATTCATCTACCCAAAGTTTACAGAGAGAACACCCCTCTCCATGTGACACTGTCAGCGTGGCCACCCGTCACTAACTGCTGTGGGTGCAAACAGACACCTTCTTCAGGCACAAAAGCAGAATATACCAAAAGGGAAAAATATGGGTTCTAGTTTCCATCTCCATTAGATTTGGCTTATTTTATTTCAGAACTTAATGCCAAACAAGAAAGGACATTTGAGACAGATACCTTACTGGGACAGAAAAAAGGCCTTGGAGATGGTTGCTAGGTTTACTGGGGTCTGGGCATGTCCCTCACTCAAACTGGAAGATTAAGCTGTTGAATTGGTGCCAAATATTCAAAACCTGCTCATACGGAGAGAGGTAGGAAAGAGATAGACCATCCCCAAATACTCCCCTAAGTGCTATCCCATGTCCTGTATCTTTGCAACCTTACTCACAACAAAAGCCTGGGAGAAAAATTTGCAGATCTGAGGCCAAACCAGGTTCTACTTTTGTAAACATTTATCTAGTGCCCTGTAAAAGAACCTCCAGAGTTACTTTGTAAGTACTAACTTTGTAATGGAGGAGGTAGGTCACCAGCAATCCCAGTGTATAAATAAGAATTGAGACCTCCTCCACTTGACTGTTCCAAGCTCACAGCAGTGACCTGGAGCTCTGAGTTCCCAGCCCTGTGCGGCTGCCTTGGAGCCGCTCTTGAGGCAGCAGGGTGAGATCATGGATCTTGCAGCCTTCCAGAACAGCCAGGGCTCGGCCGGCAGGAAGCCCAGAGCAAATCAAGGGATCTAGTCAAGGAGTTCTCTAACAGCTTGAGCTCTGCGGGGAGATTTAACTGCTCCAAGTACATACCTGCTTTGTATTGGATGCATTTTAGGAGATCTAGGGAGCTTTGAAGCTTCAATACTAAGAAGCTGGATGGCACCATTATCTGAAGCTATGGCCAAGTAATGTGAACCTTGGCAGAATGTAAGTGTCTTTACATGTCCTCCAATCCGGGAGTAGGTCAAAATTGATCTAAACAGCACAGAGAGAGAGAGAGAGAAAGGAAATTTTTTTGGTAGCACTTAAAAGAAAAAAATCACTTTGCTCAAACACCTACTTAAAAGCAATGGCTTTGGAGGGAGAGCTCTGAAAATAACATTTTCTAAGTGTTCCAAAATCAGAAAGCAATGAAGCCTGTGTCACCTCTGGAAGCTTAGTGCTCCATCTCCATGCCTCCAGGCTGTGACAGTCTCCAACTGCATAAGCACACATCTGCCCATGAGCAGAACAGAAGTCTAAGCTCGATCTGCGTTAGAGCAGCACAGCACACCATACCAACCTGCATTTCAACCTGCACTACAGCTTTACTGCATCAGATATCAGAGCATGGGACAGGCGAGTGTAAAGCTCCTTTGTTCCAAAATACTCAGATGGCTTTAAACAGCAGCACCAGAATATATTCATGTATGTATAGAAATGAAATCAAAAAGCCTGTAATTACTACAACTGAAAAGCAGTCCTTTGCATTTGCTAGCAATTTTTTTTTCCTTTTATTAACTAACTGAAACAGCAACCTAATATTTTACAGCTGCATAACAAGAGGAACACAAGTGTATTTCATGACTGATCTCTCCAGCACACCCACAAGTGGTTCATATTTTTCTCCCTGCTCTGGCTTTACTTTGCGCTCTAACCAGCAGCCCCCAAATCCCACGAGTTTTAAAGGTACCTGGTTGTAGTGGTTTTTCCTTCCATTTTTTGGCTGTTCCAGATTTTCACCGTGCCATCATTTGAGCAAGTGGCAAAAATGGAGTGTTCATCAGAAACCCGAATGCGGTTCACTGCAAACTTGTGCTCATGAAGGTGAGCTACCAACAGTCCTTTGGGACGCCACCCTGCAGGGGAAAAAAACCATAAAGTCTGGAGTTGACTTTGTAACCTAATTAGGAACACAAAAATCTCCCTGACCCTGTCCACCAACAGCTGTATTAGGATATAGTCATGACAGCTGCAAAGCACAGAAGGCCCTGAAAACACAGAGCTGAAGGCAAAAGCTCATTTGCTCAGTTCTGAACTAAATCCTGTTGGCAGATGTGGGTACGAATCACAGAATGGCTTAGGTTGGAAAGGACCCCAGAGATCATCTCATCCAACCTCCCTGCCATGGGAAGGATGTCTCTCAACTAGACCAGGTTGCTTAAGGCCTCATACAGCCTGGCCTTGAACACCTCCAGGAAGGGAGTATCCACAACCTCTGGGCAATCTAGTCCAGAGTCTCACCACCCTAGTACTGAAGAACTTCTTCCTGAGATCTAGTCTAAGAGTCTATGAGTTTTCTTTTAGATGGGTTCCATGTACATTCAGTGAAATCACAAAGATCCCTTCTACGCAGGCTCTGTAGAGGTACCAGCAGGCAGTCCTCCTGCCATGGACACGCAGACTGCTGGGCAGCATTCCAGGCATGCCCAGAACACGCACAGCGAGCAGCACGCGCGAGCGGACCGCAGCTCCCGGCTCGTCTGTGGAGCGCTGGAACCGCGGGCTCGGAGCTGCGCCACGTGGGTACCCCGTAAACGGACACAGCTCTGCTAAACCCCACACAAATTCACTCCAGTCCTTCAAAAGGAATGTGAGGAGTTGCGCTGCCATGAAATAACCATTGCAAATATTTGTGATGTTTCCTCCCCTGAAATAAGCAACATGGAAGTGTCTGGCTGCACTACTAACAGGCATCTACTTGAGTGAAGGATTAACAGCAGGTGAAGATAAAGAAGCACAGACCATAGCAAATTTCAGAATAAGACACAAGCTTCAACTATGAGCATTTTTCTGGCACTCACTCACTTGTGTGGCAGAGCAGGTCAGCTGCTTGTACTGGGATGTGTTATTTCCTAGGTTGTAAAACTCTCTTCAGAAGACAAACACCTGGCTGAGCCAGGCTTATTCAAGGCTATGTTCAGACACTACCTGGTTGGATAATTTTCCTGATAATTTTTGACTGCTTCCCTTAAACCGGCACAGCAGCTGTATGCACCCAGGTGTGTACATCTAATGCTGGATTTACCAAAACACTTTAGCATCCCGGTGCTGACCACTGCAAGCCCAGCTGGTACAGACTCTGCCCTCAATGCCTGCAGCTTAAGCACACGAGCTCCCATTAGTAGAGGCCAGTCAGAAATCTCCATATGAGATATCCAGCAACAAGCACATGGCCTGGAGAAAACCAGCAAAAAGTGCTGAGGACTCATCCAAGTAAATCCCTATCTCAATCTCAGTCTGGAGCTTCAGAATTGAAGCTGTGGCCACAGGAGGCTGGCTGTGATTTAAAGTGGTGTGCTTCCTCCCAGCGTGGCTGCCAGAGCCCTCCTCAGCAAGACCTGAGTGTTGCTACCAGGGAGGAACAAGCGGTTAAAACGTGTCATACAGGTACTTTGCCAAACGGGTGTTCTGCACAGCAGGCACACGTCCTAAATTAATTTCCTCTTCTCCTCATCGTTTGCATTTTTCCCTTGAGACGATGATGTTGACTCCATCTTTCCCTGGCCCGAGGGCGCGGTGCCCTGCGGCTCACCTGGCGGGGGGGGCTTGCTCTCCCACTCGGCGCTCTCCAT